GCGCGGCGCAGGCGCAGCCCCAGCCCCGTCTCTCTCCCCTGGTCCAATGGCCGTCGGCGGGGAGGGGCGAGTGCGCAGTGGAGGTGGAGTCGTCGGGGTCGCTGTGTACTTGCAAAATTTTATTAAACAAGAAAAGTCCGACGGGTAAATAAAAAGCACCTGAGTCTGAGGCCGCGCCCGGTCCCGCCCGCCCGGGTCCGGTCCGGGTCCGGCACTCAGGAGCTGTGCTTCTGCCGTTTCCAGAAGCGCTTGACGTCGCTGTGCCCAGCTGGGGTCACCACCATGAGCCGCTTGGCCGAGTTCTCGAACACCAGCACGCCCAGCTCCCGCGCGTGGGCCAGCAGCAGCTCAAAGTCCACTTGCGACAGGAACTGGTTATACAGGACGCCTGGGGCGGCAGGACGGGCGCGGGGACAGGGCCAGAACGTGAGGGTCACAGGCTGCATCCCGGGGCGGGGCGGCGTCTGGGCTGCTCTGTGGCAGCCTCGGGGTTGGTCGGGCCTTGCCCACAGCAGTTTAAACCTGTAACTCTGCTGGTCTGCTCAGGGCTCCTCTTAACCCTAGTGCCGTCCAGCCTATTCGTGCCCACCAGACCAGAGAGGTCACTGCGAAGGGTCCCTCCCACTTTCCCTCTCTGGCAAATCCAAGCTTCTCTGACTTAGGACAATTCTACTACACTCACCCCAAAACAGAGTCTTGCCAGCTTTTCTCTCCCAGCCCATGAAGAACAAAAATGAAATGCATCTAAGCCTTTTCTGTTCGTCATAATGGAATTGTCTGCCCTTTCTCCAGCCAGTGACCCAGACTCGGCCACCAGAAGCCACTCACCCTCCGTGAACCGGAGCCTGTCCCTTTCCAGCTCCCACAGCCGAATCTGGTCCGTGATGGTGGGGGGGAGCACGGGGGTCTGCAGGGACAAGCGCTGGCTGCAGGGGCTCAGGAGCACTGCCCCACAGGAGCCCAGCCCTCCCACTCATCCCCTTTCCTTCCCCTCATCTCACTGCCAGGGCCAGGGGTGCCAGCCTCTGGCATCTTGGTACTTGTCTGCACCTGTTTGAGCATCACTGGGTGGGCCCTTGTCCTCAGGAAATGGATGATCTGGGGAACAGAAAAGAATGGCATGAGGACTTGAATGAGAGGGCAGGAAGGCCACCTGTGCTGTCACCCAAGTTCACTGACCACCAACTTAATCCCTTAAAAACTTGAAGCCACATCCCTGCCGTCGACCCACCCCGGAGGCTCTGGGCTAAACGCATGACCTCTTTTCTCCCACTGAATCCCCCAGCAACCCCGGGAGGTATGAGTGTCCGTGATGAGGCGAGGAAAGCCAGGCTTGCAGCGAAGCCACCAGGCCCCTTACAGGGCTAGGAGGACCCACCCTGGAGGCTCTGGGCTAAACACATGACCTCTGTTCTCCCACTGAACTCCCCCAGCAACCCCGGGAGGTACGAGTGTCCGTGATGAGGCGAGGAAAGCCAGGCTTGCAGCGAAGTCACCAGGCCCCTTACAGGGCTAGGAGGGGCGGTGCCCAGGCACGGTCTGCAGCTGTACCCCTTCCCTCGTGTTCACTTCCCCTCGAGGGTCAGTTCCCTCACCGACAGCCTTGCTTCCCCTCAGCTGCCTGGGGCCCAGACAGCACACCACCCCTGATGTGACGGCCCGGCCAGCCCTCCGCCATGTAGCACCTGTACCCCACGGCCCACGCACAGCCCACCCTCCCGCCCTCACCCAGGCGGGGTACCTGCTGGGCTGTGATGCCGCTGGCGATGGCCTGCTGCACACTCTCCCGGGTCACCTGCGCCACCACCATGTTGGGGAAGCGATAGAGCATCTCAGAGAAGAGGGCGATGAGGGCGATCTGCAGCTCCGACTCTGCCCCGGGGACAGGGAGAGAGGGTGAGGCTTCCCCTCCCAGACGCCCTCAGCCCTTGCTTCATGGCTGGGGGGAAATGTCAGAGAGCTGCGGGCTAGGCAAGTGAGAGCAGAAACCGCGTCCCCTCGGGCTCCTCCCCTCCTCCCAGTGCCTGAGCGGCTCTCCGGGGCCCTCCGTCCTCACCGGTGTAGGCGTACAGGCGGTAGTTGGTTTCCACGACAATGAAGCCAGGCTGATGCGCAGTGCCCCCAGCCCCGGAGACACCTGATGACAGATTGATGGCCAGCCGCGTGGGGTAGTAACGCCGAGATTTCCTCTGGAAGGAAGGGAAGGCAGGTGCCCTCTCTCAGGGGTCAATGCCCAGACCTCGCCTGAGCTACCAGATCCTCCCTCCAGTGCACAGAACCGGAACCGCCAACTTCTCTCCACCAAGGGGCCCACGTGTTCGGTTCCTGCAACCGCTTCCTCAGGGCCTCCTGCCCTGAGGCCCCACGACCCACTAAAGGCCAAAGCCGTGCACCACCTGCTTCTTCCCTGGAAGGCCCCGTACCTTCCTCTGGAAAACAAGTCCGAACTCACGCAGATGTTGCAGGAAGTTCAACAGAGAATCGCTCATGCCTTCCACAGAGTAATCCTGGGAAGAGAGGTGGCCACTGGGGTCCGAAACACACCGCCCCTCCCCCAACGGTGTGCACACGGCCCCTCTCTCCACATCTCTGCCGTCCTGTGTGCACGCTCATCCCCACTCTACTGCCCCCGACCGATGTCCTGGCCCCTCTCCCTACCCTCCTGCTCCTGCTTACCTTGCCCAGAGTCGAGAAGCTGAGCTGGAAGAGGAAGGAGAGGATCTCCACAAGGTCCATGACGGTGTGCACACGGCCCCTCTCTCCACGTCTCTGCCGTCCTGTGTGCACACTCATCCCCGCTCTACTGCCCCCGACCGATGTCCTGGCCCCTCTCCCTACCCTCCTGCTCCTGCTTACCTTGCCCAGAGTCGAGAAGCTGAGCTGGAAGAGGAAGGAGAGGATCTCCACAAGGTCCATGCCCCGGCTCTAGGAGAAAAGGGCAGAGACAAGGCAGAGATGGGACGGAGGGTGGGGAGGGCAGTACCGAGAAGAAAAGACCAGGGGACAGAATCTGCAGGCGGCAGTCTCTCAGGGGCCGAGAGCAGAGCGTGCTGGCTGCTGGCCGGCCTCCTCACCTGGGCCGTCTGCAGATACTGCAGCATGAAGTACCAGAGCTGGGCAGGGGTGTCCAGCAGCAGGAACTGGAAGCCCGCCGAGGCAATGC